GAGCAATATTAATAATTTTAGTAATTTACATTGCTACATTAAATTGATCTTTCAATAAAATATTGAACAGTTTCCAAATTAGGAAAATACAACAAATTTTTAAATGTTATTGAAAATCAAGAAAAATCAAGAAAAAATCAAGAAAAATGAAATTTTATCTATAGATCAGGGAAAATATATGAAATTTAGAATGAAAAATTTGTGACATCTCTAAATGTTTCATTAATATTTAAACATTCTGTGAAAATTCTTTTGCTGTTCCGGAATATTCGGCACATTGGGAATACAAATCGATCTTTTTATGAATGATTAACGTTAGTTAGGTTAACATTCGGAGTATTTTGATGATTAAAATAACTTTATGCCTGAATGAATGTACGTTTATAAACTCCGGTCATTCTTAACTTTCGGTTCTCACGTTCCGACTCGAATTCTTAATGTTGCGAACGCTTAACTTACAATCTTTAGTTCTCGATTTACTCGATATCGTCGCTGAACGTGAGTGGCATGAGCAACGATAGAAAACGTAAATAGCGGATGACATAATGTAAGACAAAGAGATTGTCTCTTCTTCTTTGTCATACGATAACTTTCATTACTACTACAGTTACTATACAATACTTGACGTCGAAACTGTTTCATGGAACACGCCACGATCTGTCAGCATAAACTATCTGCGCACGCGGAACTTGCTATCTAGTAACGCAAAATAAACGGGACATTCTGCGCGATATATCGGCGCACCGAGGTATTGTCGAAGACGCTTGATCGTAGCATTCACATTTAGATATTCGAAAGGAAACTTGCTTGATAGTAAGGTATCTATGTTTCCTTAATTCTATACGGATTCATGTCGCGCGAGATTCTCACAGATACTTTGATTGACGATGGATCAGGAGACGCCCTCGGACGATGCTCTAAAATTGCGGAAAGACGAGGAACGACATAATGCAACGGACATGTATCTGGCTCGGTGACGGGGAACACAGTTGCCTTATGCAGTTCCGGGTGACCGAGTTTCCTGAACGACGAGAATTCCTCGCGCGTCTGTGCTCAAGTTCGAGTCTGATCTCCCAACCATTCGTAGTCTAATAAAAGTCATTTTCTGTCTAACCATCCAATTAATCTAAGAATGTTCAAGCATATTTGTTTTTAAAAAAAAATAATGATAATATCTAGCCTGTATATAATCAATTAATTAACCATAATTTTATGCTTTGCGTTTCAATTATTTTTACAATATATAATTGTAATTGATAAAAAATTCTATTGCTTACAGAGTTAATTCTTGAAGAATTTAAAAAATAAAGCTATCGAAACGAGTTTTTTTTTATCAATTCTTTTTAGTTCATTTATTTTTGAAAGACTATAGAACTGATTTGAGATATTGTGGGAATGGCAGACATAATTGGCGAATTTCAAGTTCAATCTTTCATCCCACATACTAATTTTAAATTCGTAATGCGGCTGCGTAAGCGGTTTCCAAGTTGAAGGTTACATATATAGCTGACAGCCACATTAATAAATGGAATGTCTATTGTTGTGAATGTTCATAAATAGGAACCAGACCGAATTTTTTGGAATAGGCCAAGACTCATCCAGGGTTGTGGAGTCGAAATCGATTTCTGTGACGTTTTTATAGTTTCGATACATGTGTTTGGTAACGCGGAGCTCGCCGGTGATAGATTCCGTGCCACACACATGGACCCCGCCCTTTAAAATCCTGTTTTTTTTCGTGTCCTCGGTACTAACCCTGTTGTTACCAGATCGAGTCACGAGCTCGCGCTCGCAAATTCTCATTACCATTCGTATCTGTGAGGTACTATCGCTACATCAGAACCCAACCTAGTTCCTATTTCCCATTGTGCCCGTTCTATATCTATATATATAGGTGTCTACAAGATCGTGTCGCGACCCTGCGAGTTTTCCTTAGATTCACTCATCGATCGACCGCTCCATTCTGGGAGAGAAACGAAGATGTGCAGAAGATGTTGAGACACTCGGGTTTAATTCAAGCATCTTTAATTCTAGAATGCTATTTATACATAAATTTTATGTACAAGTAAGTGAAATTATTGAGCATTAAACTACACGTGGAAAGAACTTTGCTGAAATATCTAAAAGTTTAACTGGATACAGATCTGAAAATAAATTTGTCATACTATCAGAATAATTATGTAGAATGCTCAAACTGATTACTGTACATGTCAAAAATTTTTGCAGTTCATTGCACATGTTTGAGTTTTCTATTGTATATAATTATTTTGATAACAAAATTATGTTCAGATATGTATCTACCTAAATTTTTGCAAACATTAGTAAACACTTTAAAATCGTTCCGTGTAGCTTCAGTCATTAAGAGATCCAATCTGTTATTAAAAATTGAGATAAGCGAAGACAAGCTTTTAAAAATTCTGTCCATTATCAATTTATACTCCCTGATGGTCAGAATTATAAGAGAGAGTGATAAATAATTTCAATTTTTTAACAGTTTTATATTATTATTGTGTTATTGTATATTTTATTTAAGTTTTTTGGGGACACGCAATTGGACTACATGCTCCATATCAATTCAAGGCTGATTTTAATATAGTATACTTATTCTTTCTTTCTTCTTAAGTTAATTAGATTATTTGTGTTTCTATAGATAAAAAAAGTTTAGATTATTTTATCATTAAAAATGAAAGATGTATGAAAAACTTGAATTACAGTAATTAAGAGTGATAGAGCCTACTTTCTTGTACGTAAAATTTACATATTGATAATAATACTATATATCATTCAATAGCGATAGCATTCTAGGGTTAAATGAAGCATGGATTTCTATATTTGAATATTTCAAATATTACAATTTCGTTATATTAATATCGAAAATATTACTACTGTAATCTAAAAGTCGCGTTCTTAATATCACATTCTTTTATAGATCTTCAGTTATCAAATTTGTCGTTTTTCCAATGTAGTTGTCGACACGCTCCACTTCGATAACTTCGATGAATAATAAAAATAAGTCACGTACACGAAGAGACGAAGTGAAAATCGCAAAGGAGTTTTCCAAAAAAAAAAATCTTGCCTATTCCTGCTTGCGTATCCGGTGAAATTCAATTGCTCCAGTATCTTCGATACGATAATATATAATCGGATAACGATCACAGTGCGCTACTATGTTCGTTTGTATCCTAAAACGGGAGATCTAACGGATCGGAACAGGAGGCGGTAATAGATAACGGCCGATGGTTAGTGCAGATGCGCTTACTCTATCATCTACCATATAGCTGTATTCGCGCATGAATTGCTAAGGGATAATGAATACAGAAAAGAGATGGCAATAAATAATATGCGGCTAGTAATAGATAACAGTTAATGGTAAGCAGACTCGGATTAACGTATGTAATTAATATATACGTTAAGTTGAACGAAGAGAATAGGAATGGAAGCGTCTTCTTGCAAGGAAGATTACATAATTTGTCAAGGCAAATAAGGATTCTTGTTTGGATCTCTGCAAAATGACGAATGCGAGAGAGATAAGTGATAAGGACAATAATTAATGGTAGCTAATAATGAGAAAGACTCAGATTAACGCGTACGATTAACTTCCACATTGAAGTTAATCAAAGCGAATGGAAATGTGAAAAGTCTCCTTCGCAGAAGAGATTTTTAACAATTTGTCTAATCTAAAGACAAACAAGGGACCAAAACGATTGATCAGCTTGTTTCCAGAGAAAGTTAGAATTAGACATTAAATATTTATTAGAAAATTTCGCGAGGTCTCCTCTCGATGGAATCGATATTGAAAAGTTTATTACCCGGAAAAGTGGAACGTATGTCCTTGATCTGTGCACTTTAGTATTTGCGGCAACAATCGAAACTAAAGCGATTTTATAGTCACGCATGAGTCGACCTATCGTGAGAGTATTGCGACCTGACTGTTTCTCGCACGATCCATTACGTCGTACAAATCGACGATCCCTGACGTGCGGCTTTCAAAGCGCCGCCTTTTTTCTTTCAGAAAATCACAAAACGAGAATTAAAATAAAAATCTCGCGGGACGATGAATCAGCTATTCCGACCTAAACCGATTTCATTGTCTTTCCAGTCGCCAATCTTGCGATCTTGCTATTAAAACGTCGTCCTTGAGCGTTGCGCGCTACTGATAAATGATTTACTGCACGATCACTGCCGTAGTAAATTTGCTTCTTCAAACAGGCTTCTTCGACCGACCAAACCGGCTCGCTGATCGTCATTCGATACATGGACGAATCACCGTTGTGTCTGGTACACTTACGGGCGATTACTACAATCACGTTGTCGATCGATCGTGTCGAATAGCTGCTTTCGCGAAGTTGAATACAAATTTTCAACTACCGATGTAATTCAGATTTTATAAACTTCACCAAACTTATTCAAATTTATTAAAATTGTTGTTTTTTAATTATATAATAAATAATATAATTATGTAATAATAATAATAATAATAATAACATGTAATAATAATAATAATATAATAAAACAATAATGAGTGAAAAATAAATACATAACAAATAAAACAGAAAGAATCTTATATTCGGTCAAAACAAATCTTGATGCATAATATTCTTATATGTAAATTTTTAAATACATTTTCAGTTCTATAGTCTGTACGCTAATTCGATTTGTCGGACTTAAAACACAAACATAAACTGAAGCCGAAAATAATACATTGATCATCAATTTAATAATGATGCTAATCTTAAAATATTACAACGAATTCATTGAGAAAAAAGTAAGAAAAGATAAGGTATGATATATAATAATTTTCAATTTGCATTAGGACTAAATAGGTATACTCGTAAAGAATAGCGGGCTATTCTTTTTGTTACGATCTATCACTTCATCGGGCCACTTGAATGTTGAATGAACATTGAGAGATACTTGCAGCTTATTCCGAGGGATATTCATGCGTGCGTACGAATTATCGCTGACGCGACAGCTAAGCTAATTTCGTAATCTTCGAATTTCAGATGTGGATCATATAACGGGTGACAATTTCTTTGATGTGCTTGATAACGGAGTGATTGTATGTCGATTGGCAAGAGTTATCCAGGAAAAGGCGAGATCTGCGATTGAAGCTGGACGGACGAAGGGAGTAAGTTATTAGAAATCATCTAATATCTCAATTTAGATTTTTGCATTAACATGATGTGTTCCCGGCAGACAATAATTTTTTTCTGAAATTCGTATTATATACATTTGATTATTAAAAACGCCATATATTATCACTGAAAAAAATTTGGTAATATTAATCATATTTGTACAGTAAATAATTATTATTACTATATTTTCTTACTTCATATAATTTATTTATATGAACTATACTATATTTTATTATAACTTTATAATTGAGGCGTTATTTTTCTTCAAATTTCTAATTACTGATACTAATTTTTTTACTGTGTATATTGACTAAACATTGGATTGAAATTATGCACCAAGCGAATTTTATAATTGAGAATATTTTTGTTTTGACGTAACAATGATGAAAGTTTGAAGAAAAGGAGATTTTACTCGCAGAAACATAGAGAAATGTTGTTGTAGCCAGCACCAGTGATACGTGGTCGCTGCTGGGAGAATGCAGCTCGTCGCAGCTTCTTTTCCCGCGACAACATGGAGAACTTCATACAATTTTGTCGGCGGCTGGGCGTCCACGAGAATCTTCTCTTCGAAAGTGACGATCTCGGTAAAGCTTGGCGCAATTAATTTTAATGTATGCGAATTAAGCAGAGGCGGGCTATGCATTTGCTCTATCGGACGACTTTCAACGAGATGGGATTTAAGTGCGCACTCGATTAAGTTGATGAGCGGCGATTAGCGAAACACTGTAATTGACTCGCACAATCTCGTGGCAGACACGCGTGTAGGAATACTAGGAACGTGTGCCGTATAAATTATGATCCAGCATAAAACGAAGTATGCAAATTGACTTGATTGTGACGGGAAGCGAGAGTGATTGCCGCATGAATCGCGCGCGATTCCGAAGAAAGTGGAGCGAATCTGCAGCTCTTCGAAGATCAGGGGACTTTCCCCGTTTAATCAAGTTTAATTAGTATTGGAAATAAACAATGCGGTTACATAAATTATGTAACGATGTAATCGACCGTGACAGAAAGCCGCCACGGAACCCTTGAGAAAAACGTTTTATTGTGCGTATCGTAAGCATTGACCTGAATAAAATCGAGTTCGCCATGATAACGTATAAATAATAAATGAATCTCAATCCATAAAATGACACAGTTTGTCATTTATACATATAATGAGCGTATATAATGTAATCAAAAGTTCGTATAATAGAATTGGATCATGAACGATTTTGTCAAAATCTTACGCGAAAGACATATGCATTATCTCACTCTAACTTATATTACACTTTGTAACCTTAATAAAGGTTATACAGTGAGATAATATAAATTAGAATGAGATAGTATATAGAAAGACAATATATATATATATTGTTGCATTAGTTGGAATTTTAATTGAAAATGAACAAATCAGAATTTTCTGATTGAATCTATTATAATTCTAGTTGATAATCAGAATTCTGATTGAACTGATCATAATCTGATTTGTTCATTTTCAATCAGAAATTTTTTTCAATGTACTTATATCTTTCTCTCTCGTAGGATTTTGACAAAATCGTCCATGACTAGTCTCTGTTCTAGGATTTTAGTGTGATCCTTCTCTTTATAGTTTTGCATGGCCAACCACGGAATGTTGTGTTGTGTTTGCTGGAAGTCGCGAGACTGGCGGCCAGATATTCTCTAGAACCGCCTGGACTTGTGCAACTCGAGAGGGAAATTGCAGCTGAACAAGAAAGAGATCTTCACTGTTTGTCTGACAGCGGTATATCACATAGCAGTCTCGTCTCTTGGCAGTTCCAGTCACCATCACCGACCGCAACACCCAGGACACCATCGCCGGAAAAGATCAAACATAGCAGGTAAATAAGTCGTCATTTTCAAGACTCGATTCACACTTCACTTTTATCGATAAATGCATACAAATGTCACTTCTTTACTTAAAAAATATATAATTTATATATAACTTAAAAAATGTGATTTTCTGAATATAACGTGAAAAGTTATTAAATCATGAATGATTTAACAAGTATTACTCTATTAATCATCATATTCAAAAATCAATTAACTCAACTTTATAAAAAATTATCAAAATCATTATAATTCAAAAAAGACAATTTAAAAGAAAAGTCATCAAAATCATTATTTAAAAAGAATGATTTTTAAAAATTGTAAAATAAAAATTACAAAATTACATTTGATCATATTAAAAATATATTTTTTGTTGATATTATTTGATTAGTTAATAATTTTTTGTCAAGTTGAAATATGGTTTTTCCCTTCTTCTGGGAAACTTAATTTTTTTAGTTGTAATTTTTGAAGTAAGCGAACGATATAATTTTACGTTGCATACACTATCTCTATAGAATCTCAGAAATGAATTTATTGATAAAAGTGAGATATGAATAGGGAGTATTTTAAATGAGATAAACGAGAATGTGCATAAGCGTAGCTAGAATTTTGTTTAAGGAACCAAATTAGGATTGAGATTTTTAAACTGGAAGAAAAAGAAGAATAGTATAGATTGTTGGACTTATTTTGTTTTACATTAATATTTTTAATTATTAGCTGGTAAATCACAAAATCACACATATTTAATTGACTAACCTATTTTATTTTTTTTAAATTGTAAATTGATTTTCTTTGAACTGGAAAAATTATATTTATAACACTAACCGTCTTAGATTCTCAGAAAATCTTCTGAGAAATCTTTAAATTTTACCTTCCATTCTTTCTTCTCTTCTAAAATTATTTTTTTATGAATTAAGCATAATTCGGTTTTAATTATTTCTATTCTTTAAGATTTAGGAAAACTATTCGGTCTCCTCTGCCCCCCTTGATTACGTTCATGAGAATGTGTCTCACGAACTATCGTGTTGCCTAATCTTGTAACCTATCTTGCACACAATATTCCTCAATGTGTTACTTGCACCGTAACGGTCGATAAGCGACGATGTTGTGAGAAGAAACCGAAACTTAACCGTTACGGAATGTATAAGTTATTCGTTTGTATAATTTCTGTTTCACTTACTCGCATCGCATTCAAAACAGCGCCCAGAACTCTGATATATTCCAGCTCGTCTACGACGAAAGATTTCCTCATCGGGTTACAGTCATTGACTGAATGGGCAATTCTGCGTGATGTTATTGAGAAGGAAACCTCGCGCAACTAGGAGTGGTTGAATTTTATAACATATGTAAAGTTTCTGGTGTGTGTGTGTCCATTGTGTTATTCTGTAGATAGTTGGTTGGTACCATTCGCTTTATTGAATTGTTTAGATAATTGTTTTTATTCGGACAGTTCGATAAATCACAAAGATATATGTATAAAGCCCAATTTACAATGTGCTCTTGTTTTCTGTTTCTTGTCTTTTTCTCTCTTTATGATTGTTTCAAGGTTTCAAGGTTTGAATGAAATCTTGTACAATGAATCTCTGAAAATTTTTGTTATTTCTCAGAATTTTTATTCAAAATTCCAAATAAGATTAGAGACTTTTTAAATCGAACTTTGAAATAAATTAGAATGCAAACAACGTGAATAAACTATATATTGAAAATTATAGAAAAAAACAGGAATTTCACGAGACTATATTTAGTCTCACTTTCTATAATTGAAACCGCGAAATCTATAAGTGTAGCATAAGAAAGGCAGAGTTTTCTAAGTCTATCACACTTTGAGTTTTATCGATAATCGTGTTTTTTATCGTATACTTATTTTTTATTTTTTTCGAAATTAGTTAACTTTTATCTCGAATGACAAAAAATAAAGAAACAGAATAAGAAACAAAAAGGTAAAAGATACAAAGTAAAAAGCAAAAAACAGATAGCAAATAGCACATTGTAGATTAAACTTAAGAAAGTTCATTTCTCTCGCTAACCCGTTCGACATGTAATAATATTTTGCGAAAGCGTTGGAGAATTCAACATAAATCTCAATATAATTCTAGCTCGGCATCTGAAGTCACAACGGGCACACGATGGTTGGATCCGGTAACCGGTGCTGCACATGAATCTGAAATGCGAAGGTCCGTTAGCGACAACGGGCCAACTGGAAGTGACGGGGTGCCTAGCGACACTACCGAGGATGATTGGTCGCGCGGTAGCGTCGAAGACCCTGACGAAGTGCCGTCGCCGTCGAGTTCGCCATCACCGTCGTCGGCCGAACCTCCGGAACACACTGGGCCGATAACGGAACTCGATCGCAAGGTATTAGAATGCCCTATTTTCACTTACAATGCAATCCCAGTAATAGATTCTTCGGTAAGTTTCGAATGCATTCTGCACTGATATAATACAAAAGTTCATATTCAATGACATCGAATGTCGAGAATATCTCTATGAATTTCATTTAACAGTTTCTAGCAAAATTTAAATTACCGAAGAAGCACTTTTTTGTTGGGAACGAAACTCCGATTTTGAAAGATTAAAATAATAATGTGCAGTGTAGAGGAAGCTGCCCGTGTCGCACGAAGAAATGTATATGCGGAAGATTGAATAATTTATATTCTTTCTATTAATGTTAATGTAGCTTCACCGATGTATTCTACGCACGCGTTGTTTTAGTCGTACCTTCGCATATCGTTGAGAAAACCTTAGTCCTACGTGTTATTACAGACGTTGCGCTTGCATTATAATCATTATATCGTACGAGAGAGAAGAAAGGTGTACGGACGATGGGAATCGGCGTTTTCTCGTATATGTTTTCCACGCATGCATCTGCACGCGCGTATCGGATTCCTGCGTGCCTAGCGGCGGAAGTTACGCGCTGCAGCGTATCTTCGGCCCTTTGCTCCTCGCTGCGACGACACGTCGAAGCGATTTATCTCGTGTGACAGTCGATCATTCTTCGTTCGTTCGACAATAACGAAGGTGGGCGGCCCGATACACAACGATAAAAACGTCCGTTTAAATATATACCCGATATCCTTTCGTTTTGAACGCACCTCTCTCAATATCTCCAGCATCGCGTGCCTCTGTCTACAGGTGCGAAGAGCTACCGAGGCCGTTCAGAGACTCTGCCAGTGTCCGTCAAATAAGTGCTCCAAGCTGAAGGTGCGCAAAGTCGGCGAAGGCCGCTACCATATCGCGGGACGTAACGTTTTTATTAGAGTAAGTACAATACATACAATACATCTATATATATAGTGTATAAAATTCATATTTCTTTTGCGAAGTTAAAACTAAAATCGATATTATATCGTTGCGTTAATAGAAAAGTGATATATTTCACAAATTAGTAACTTTCCAATAGAGTGTTGAGTAGAGTTTTATTTTTTTAAATTCTGAATTGGAACATTTTAATTAAGATGGTGAATATGTATATCTTCACTTTCTTTCATATTATACTTTCAATTGTATATATTCATTCAATTATACATGGAGAAAAGTTTTGATATGATTATGATTACAAAGAAAGACTATAAATTATAGATTATTATAGTAATGGCAATCATTTTTACATAATAATAACTGTTAATTATAATCATTTTCGGTGCCAACTATATTTGTTGATAACACTGTATTATTATTATTAACAATGTAGCAATAATAACCAGAATAATAATTAGAGTAACATATTAGTGTAATTACTTAATATAAAAAAACCGAATTTTAGCTCTCAGTGTATTCTTTAAAACTATGTCATGAATTTTCAAAATTGAATATTACAATGAACACTCTAATGTTTATTAGAACTTTTCTATCAACATATGTTAAATATTATTAATTATTACTTATATAAAAATTCTACATGGGAAGAATTGTTTTGCTAAAATCGTTAAAATAATCATATAGAACGCTCAAGCTTGTATTAGAATGACAAAACTTTTTGCAGCATTGTTCAGTTTGAGTATCCTACATTATTTTGATAGTTTAACAAAATTATTTTCAGTCAAATTTTTAATTTAGTTAAATTTAAATACTTTACCAAAATCATTCTTTCTGTGTGAAGACGAGTTGTTTTCATACAATATTTTGAGTTGTCCTCAAAGCCATGTTTCATATAATTCAAAAACTCCTTTCCCCGAAACTTGAGATCTCTTCTTTTTTCTCTATTATTCCTATCATGTCGCGACGACCATGTCAGCCACTAATGATCACGCCGCTGACGTGTTCGCAGCTTCTTAAGGGGAGACACATGATGGTGAGAGTAGGCGGTGGATGGGACACTCTGGAGCATTTTCTGGCGAGGCACGATCCCTGTCAGGTGAGGGTCCTCAACCGCGAGAGTACGCCGCCACCCGCTCGCGGTACCAAGCACGACAGCTTCTTGCACATTCGCGCCAAATATCGCAGCCCGCCGTCGGAGGCGAGTCTCTCACGTCGGTCACTAGCCTGAGAAGCACGTAGTGTCTAATCATGCGCCCACGATCACGCGACGTGGGTCCCTCGGGCCCCACGTGGCGTAAAGTTGCACGCTTGGCGCACGTGCGAATTAAAATATATTCCGGTACACCGGCGGTACCGCTATCACATCTCACCGGGCACGTCGATAGGACGTCCCGTCTGTTACGCATCAAGCGACGCGGTGAAACGACGTGTGGTGGTTCAAGTTGCCGTAAGGATGGCAATACGCATCCATCGCACGATTTTTCACGCACGATACATTCCTTCTTTTCCAACTACGTTCGATGAGTTGGCGATTTGAGGGAAGAGAGAGGCACCGCAGGAGTCACTTTTAAGCGCAGGAGCCTTGCGATCACTTATGCACATTCCCGATATTCATAACGCTATTTACGAATTCTCTCTACGGCGAGAAATCACCGGTACACGCACCGCCTATACGCCGGTTCGCAAAGATACCTCTTAACCACTCTCGTACCTATTCGTACATCCCGAATTGCGCGTACAACTTATTACGTGTAACCACGTAATATGTTGATCACGGTATAGAGAAGCACAGGGATCGCTATTTTTACTAAATCCGTATGTCAGGTGAGGTTGAGGAGCATGCAAGTGTCAAAGAGCATCCTCGCAGACGCACTACGTTGCGATTTTTAAGACTATAATCTACAGTGTGATCTTTGCTTCCTGTTTCTTAAGAGTTTTTTTTTACCTTTTTCCCTTTTTCTTTTCTGTCGCCCGAGATAAAAGTTGATAAACTTTGGAAGAGATAAGAAACTTGATTGTGACAAGAAACATTTTTTGTCGATAAAAATGGCGAAGAAGGAAGAAAGCAAAAGGTAAAAACAAGAAACAGGAAGCAAATAGCACATCGTAGATTAACGAGAACGAATAGTCAGAGTTTTGCATCTAAAGCTGTAATCACACTGTGGTCTGTTGCGATTCCTGATTGATGGTTCTATTTTAACCAATCACGATACAATTAATTCGTACGCGCTAAAACAGAACTGTTAAAATACCATACGGTAACTATAACCATACGATAATCTGATAGTGTGATTACGACTTAAGAATCGGCGAACTCTGCGATTCAGAAGACTTTGACTATTTGAATTTTTATGCATTATCGTATCAGGAATCAATCAACTATGTGCTTTCATCTCGAATCTTCAAGGCACTAACTTTTGTACCGTCTACCTGGAAGTTCTTTGACCAGCAAGTGCGCTGCACTTGGTAATGGTAGCATTAAGACCGCAATGACCAAACTTTATTTTCGAAATCGTGTAATCACGATAATCATTATACTACTAATAATGCAAATAATAATACAAACTTTTGAATAAATATCCACTTAAGCTCAAACGTACTGCGCTTCATGAGCTACGTGCAATAAAAAGAATAAAAGTGCAATTAAAATCTCAGGTAGAGAATCGTCCGTGTCATGCCTTAGAAAAGATCAATTAATCTTTTTTTTTCTTTTAAGGAAGTTTCTTTTGCAATGCTAACATACACCGTTTTCCTTTGACGTAACAATCACAGCGGCTTTAACAAAAATTTCATAGTCGAACTAGATGATACCATTATATTTTATTATTGATGTTGTAACGTACTTTTTAATATTCAACTCAACTACGTTTTGGTCATTGCTATTATATCCTATAAACCAATATATTCTTACGGTGCACTGCCATTTTACGGCGAGCACGCGATCAGGCACTTATATATTATAATAATCAACAGGGTCGGCTTAATTTTCTGTGTATAATTTTCTCATCCGAATTGCAGAAATCGCTTATAACGTATAATTTACCGAGCAGGCTCGATAATTGAATTTTTCTTTGCGTATAAGTTCTATTATCAATATTTACGTAATCATATATTATTGAAGAATGATACGTTTATATCTAACAAGAGTGCTTTTTAAAATATACGTTAACAATTTTTTATAATTTTATTTCAGTTGTGATGTCTTATGATTTTTTCAGCCGATCCTTAAATTCATAGATATACACATTAACATTCGATTAATATCTAATACTTGTATCGCCTAATATGTAAAATGCTTCATAATTACCACGATGTACACATATGTTTTGTACTTTTATATAAATATCTACGGTAAGTTAAGGGAAATAATAATATGGTCGGCATATTGCCGAGATAATTAAACCATACAATTATTCCGCTTACAGAAGTGCAAGAGCACAGTGTGCAAAGGAATACCAAAGCAAAGAAACACGCGACGAGTAATGTCGGCTCGTTGAAGCTAATTAAACCGTCATCCGTGATCCGTTTATCGTGCATGTCAGTTGCGTCGGAAGACTGTGGTTGTGTCTTCACGAAAATAATCCGTTCACGGCGTTCCATCATCCTTTGCGAAATAGAATCAGTGTTAAATTGCGATTTGCACTGTAATGCGATAAGCTTAAGTTTAGCGAGCTATTACTGGATACAGGGCCTTATGTTACTGCAGATACGATTACTTTGCGAAGAGTTATTTTTTAATTTAAAACCGCCCTGCTTAAAATAATTTTCGCCATATTATGTAATTGTATTGTAAATAATACGTCGCTCTGACATATCAACAGATAAGTGATTTAAGTTAATCGTACCTGCTTTATACCACGGATTTTGCGTATAAACTATAT